ATATATATATATATATATAACTTTATATAATTAAGTAAACATTCATATAAATTATAAAGGATGATTAAAAAAAACTTATTATTAATAGATCCAGACATATATGACTCTAAAAAATATTAAAAAGATTTTGTAATTATAATAATTATTTTAAGAGAAATCTTAATAATATAAGTAAATAAGCAGTTATTTGAGTGAATATTAAAAGAATAATTTTTGTAATAAATAAAAAAAAGTGTTTAATGGCAAGATTCAGATATTTAAAAGCGCTGTTCATATAGGGGATTAAACTTTAGTTATACTTAATATTTGCATTTAGCGTGTTAAAACTACTCTCACCTGATATCCGTTGTAATAATGATGATAGAATCTCGACTAGTATTTTATAGTTGTTTAAGGCATTTGTTAAATTATAGGATTTATGATAATTTAAAATAGAATCACTTGTGATTAAGCATTTATATTTTTTAGCACAGTTTTAGTTATTTTAACAAACGTGCTTTTTAAATTAAGTAAGAAAAGTTAAGCTAAAACTCAATACAACATACATACAAAGAATACACTGGTTTGGTCTGTATATGAGAAACTATGTTGATAACTTGATAAACGATAAGAAGTGAATGAGAATGAGGAGGACTATGGTCTTAGCCCTTTTATAATAGGCAAAAGAGTAGTATTGACAGAAAAGCAAGAATGAAATGTACCTATGAAACAGTGTATCATTGCATGATGTGAGTAATAAAAGAGATAGTAAATATTCCGGAGAAGAATATTAAACAAGATCAATTTATAACATAACAATATTTTTATTTAACATAAAGTTATATATATATATATATATATATATTTAAAAGTATGTCCAAATTTATAAATATTTAACATTTTGTAATTAAAAAAAATTATCTTAGATTATTTTGAATTGTTCTACAGATCAATCCATGTTTCAATATAAAGTTAAAAAAATATATTATAAAATTTATGTAATTTAATGAAAAACCAATTTATAATTTTTTTTATAACTATAATAAGTATTTAAATGAGAGTCGTTTGAAAAAACGTTTAATAATATTATTTTATAATTTAAATTGTCATATTTAATATTAATCTACAATTATTTCATTAATTTTTTGAAATTACAAATAATTATATTTATATATTTAAAGATTTACAAAATCATTATTTACATTTTGGTTAATTATGATTTCTGAATATAGGATAAATGTATTACAACAATTAATAATTTTCTATTTGTATTGGTGTTGAAGGCTCTTCATCTATTGATTTAAATTCTAATTCTAGATTCATAAAAAATTATTGGAAGACAACGAATTTATATATTTTAATAAATAATTAAAATTTTAAATACCTAGTTCAGTCGGATCTATTGGTAAAAACGTTTCTTCTGTGATTGGATCAAATTTGAATCCCAGTTGAAAATATTTTTCTATGATTACACTTCTTACATAAAACATAATTTTTCTGATTAAGAATTTAAAAAATGATAATTTTATGTCTTTGCCAATAATGTCATTAAACTCTTGAACCCATTCATTCCATAAATAATTTGTTTCATAAGGTACATATTCACAATACCCATTAATTTCTTCATTTACACTTTTTATTATTATTGTTTCAAAATATGATTTTACAATTTTTAATGTCTGATAATATGTAGACATTTCATTACGTGATAAAGTTTGTTTGTTAAATTTGTCAATAATATTTGGAATTATTTTTAATAAAATACTTATTATGTTGTTATTCATGACACACAAAATCAATGGTTTCGTGTGTAATAAATCTAAAGCATCAATGGCATCTTTCATTAATGTGATCATTGGAACAATGAAAATTGATATCATGTTTACTAGTTCTTCGGTACAAATGCATCCACTTATTATGTCTTTTTCCTGAAATTTATTTTTACAAATTTTTTGGGTGTGAATAATAACTAAAGAGAAATTTTTTAAAACTTTTGCATATGTACATGCAATATATATAGTCATAGTTCGTATTTTTTGATTACATTCAAGGTAAAATTTAGGTAATTCAATCAAACTATGCAAATCAAATTTTTTTTTGTAATATGTTATATATCTCACATCGTTCAAATGTTTCCATCCCGAATACTTTAGTATCCATTGTAAATGGTTTACTTTTTTACTCTCTTTTGCTTTTGTATACAAAATTGCTGAAAATAATAAGAAACTTAACATAAAAAGTTTTAATGAAAACATTTGGAAAATAATAATAATAATTAATATGAAAATTATTGATAAAAATGTAATTCGATGAATCTCAAAACACTCATTTTTATTGTGTTTTACATTTATAAATAATAAAACAAACATTTATGACAAAACATTTTTGGTATTGTAATATATTTCTTGAGACTAATATATGTTAGTACTATTTATCTAAATAAACATATACCCGCAATTTTTCAATTATTTTTGTCTATGATTCAATAAAATATATATATATATAGTGGTTCACTTATAATGAATCACTTAATTAATCGAAAAATAAAAATAATACTAATAGTTTTTAAACATTTTCAATTTAATTTTAACTAAGCTTTAATAAAAAATATATAAATATATATATATAACTTTATATAATTAAGTAAACATTCATATAAATTATAAAGGATGATTAAAAAAAACTTATTATTAATAGATCCAGACATATATGACTCTAAAAAATATTAAAAAAGATTTTGTAATTATAATAATTATTTTAAGAGAAATCTTAATAATATAAATAAATAAGCAGTTATTTGAGTGAATATTAAAAGAATAATTTTTGTAATAACTAAAAAAAAGTGTTTAATGGCAAGATTCAGATATTTAAAAGCGCTGTTCGTATAGGGGGTTAAACTTTAGTTATACTTAATATTTGCATTTAGCGTATTAAAACTACTCTCACCTGATATCCGTTGTAATAATGATGATAGAATCTCGACTAGTATTTTATAGTTGTTTAAGGCATTTGTTAAATTATAGGATTTATGATAATTTAAAATAGAATCACTTGTGATTAAGCATTTATATTTTTTAGCACAGTTTTAGTTATTTTAACAAACGTGCTTTTTAAATTAAGTAAGAAAAGTTAAGCTAAAACTCAATACAACATACATACAAAGAATCAATTAATAAATATAATTAGTGATTCACTTATAATGAATCACTTAATTAATCGAAAAATAAAAATAAGACTAATAATTTTTTAACTTCGATGCAAAGCTGAGAAGGTATTAATTTTACCATGTGTTTTTTTTTTTTTTAGCTTCAATGCGAATTGTCCCTTCTAATAGGATTTTATTTAAAAGTTCCTTCAACCACTTTATGCCAACAACGCCTAATATTTTCCATATTTCTTCTGGCACTTCATCTGGTCCCACTGCTTTATTCTTTTTCATTGATGCCACAGCCTCCCATACCTCTTTCATTTTAATTAAATCTACTATTCACTCATTACACGAGATATCCTCTAACGTCTCTTTTGGATACTCCTCATTTAGTATTTTTTCAAAATACTCTTTCCACCTTTTTTTACATCATCATCACTCGAGAGTACATTTATTATCAACACTTTTTATACACCTTATATAATGATAATCATTAGACCTTTTCTCTCTTATCTTTGCAAGTCTATAGATTTCTTTCTCGCCTTCCTTTGTTCCTAGCCTATCATCCAACTCATCATACCTCTTTAACTTCGCCTTACTTACTGTACACTTGGCTTCTTTGCACAAACGTTTATACTCTATCCATTTTCGTCATACTTTTTTGACAAAAATTTTTACACCGGCTGTCAACCTGACGCAAGCTCATTAGTCGCCTTTTACGACTGGTAGAGGAACCGAGGAAGTATTCTTATCCCCTATCCACAGGGATTAAACCAAAGCAGACGCTCCAATTTAAAAAAAAAAATACATCATAGTAAAAGTAATATAAATAGATTAGTTCCATTGACGTATTTAGAAATTTATAATGGGGGGGGGGGCAAAAAAAATGTTGATGAATAAGGTACCATAAAAGGATTTTTTTTTTACTCTTTACTTTTGTTAACACATATTTTAGATTTTTTTTGAATCCACATTTATTAATGAAAATATTTCTTTTTATACAGTGTGTAACTCTACGTAATAATCACTTTAAAAATAGGTGATAACATTAACGGGACAACTGTGCGGGCGTCAAATTTTGCTCCACAAGACAACTATTTTTTTTTTTTTTTATCAACCTGAAGGTTGGTTTACAAATCCAATTCTTTATTTTAACCAGTTACTTGTTATTTTCTCCAGTTTTTCTCCCTCATAAAGCTCTTCAATATACTCTTTCCGTCGTTTAATTATGTTCTCATCATCGACTAATAATTTGCTATTTTTATCTCTGATATTGGTGCAATTTCGTTTTTTCTTTTCCACAAATTGTTGAATCTTGCAATACGCAATGTCTATTTTGATAACTTTGAATAGTTCATCAATTTTTCTACACTTTGTTCTAACAATTTTTTTTTGGCTTTTCAGGCTTCTTGATTAAGCTGGTTCCTTAGTTGGCGATACATTTGTTGTCCTTCTCTAGTGTTATTGTTTTTATATTTTCGTCTTTCATCTAAACATTTTACTATTTCCTCGTCAATCCATGCTCTTCTTGGTTTTTTTTTTTTTTTTTTTT